CATTGGATTTATGACACATTATAACCTGCCTGACAGCTGACTCTCCAGGTACCTCTCCACCATTCAACTGCTACATTCATCTCCCTTTTCTCCCCCTCTCCCCCCCAGCCTCTCTCTCACCCACTGACTCCTCAATTTACATAGGTTAATAGATTTTAGGGTTGGAAGGGACCTATTAGATCACCGAGTTCAACACCAGCCCAGCCTCTGGCTTCTTTGCTAGTCATTCCATCCAGGAAGAGCACACACCAACTGCAGAGGCTTCCTCACCCTGATGAAGGGTTTTTAAACCCGAAAACTTGCTAATTTTTTTTAACTATTTAAATTGGTCTAATAAAAAGATTTACCCAGAGAACCTTGTCTACCTACATTCTAAAGAGGGACATTTATCCTAACTTTTTTTGCAAATTATTCTGTAGAAGAACCTCAACACGTTAACTTTGTAAGACATATTGGAGAACCACAGTTTTTGTCATACAGTCATGACAATATATTTACTGAAACTGTTTAATTGCCTGTGGGTCTAACTCTGACCAGGTATATTATTATAAACCAGTGAAGTAAAAGGAAACAACCCTGGTTTGCACTTGAGGAATGAGATCAGAAATAAATGCTATTTTTTTAAGCTGCAAATATAAAAAATGTTTTGCTTTAAACACAACTGAAGGATATAGACAATGGCAATGGCTGCCAGAAGTAGAGCACATTGCACTGACAGACTTCCATCTTGATTTCATATCTGGCATACTTCCAGCAGGCTCTCTATGTTTTTCCACAGGTTTGCAACAATGTGATCTGCTTATATCTCCATATACCGGGATGGTGATGGAGAATGTGGGTAGAGACTGGAATAGGGCCCAAGCTAAGGCAAAAGACCATGGAAGCTGGGAGCCACAACACAACAGAGTTGTCTAAATGAGGAAAATTTCCTTTCCTTTTGGCCTAGACCACACAAAGTTTATGTCCCCTCATTTTCTTTTCTTTTTCCTTTGGAGGGGGGCACATATTTGTTCTCATTGTATTTTCTTGAGAATAAAGGTGCATCTGACTTGCATTTGTTCAAGAAAAAAGCTGACACTTGTATTTGTATTTGTTCTCATTGTCTTTTTTCTTGAGAATAAAGGTGCATCTGACTTGTAACTAGAGTCTGAAATATATTCCCACAGCCCTTGTTACGTATTTACAAGAGTAGCTATAGCTGGCGCTTGAATTGCATGTATCCACAAAACCTTCCACCAATATGCATTATAACCGATGCGAGATGAATTTAAATGCATACTATTAAATTTCTCTGCAGCGCCAGAGGTACTGTTTGCTTCTAATTTATTGCTCTTTGTCTTTCCATAATGATGGCAAGCAATAACCTTCAAGTGCCCACACCATCCCAAACTGTGGGCAAAAATTATATTGTTTCTTTCTCCCTTGAGATTTATTAAAACTACTATAATACTTTGAGGCTTAATCATAGCAGTGCTTTGATGTACTCTGATATTACAGTGATCACACAGGTTAACTGGAAAATTCTATGCTATCTTCTAAAGAGAATTAGTAAATAAATAGATAGTAATGCCATGGTAACTTGTCAATATCTAAAAGTTCTTCTAGATGCATCATTATAATAAACCAGGGATCTGAATTTTCTGTCTTTTGCGGAAAAATGTGGATTTCCCCATTTGAAGGAGAAAACCCCAGATTTACCGCTTTGAACTGGGCAAGAGCTGGTGGGGAACGAGCCACAGGCAGGGGTGGCAGGCAAGTATGGCCGAGCCACTAGGGGATGCTGCGTTGCTTCTCCTTGCCCCCACCACAGCCAGGGACTGGGGTTGAGGCTGGGGCTGCGGATGAAGCCAGGGCTGCCTGCCACCATGGGGATGGACAGGGAGACAGGAAGGAAGGTGCCAGAACTCCCAGAGGGGCCAGGCAAGGTCTTCTCACTGGAGCACTGAGATCCTCAGGCATGCAGTGGGTTTGCCTGGCCTCCCTGCAGCAGCAGGGCCCGGGCAAAGTGATGGGCTTCCTGTGCCTCCTGCTGTGCTTGTGCCACTGCAACTTGGACCTGACAGGCTTGTCCATGCTGCCGGACCGGGCCGTCCCCAACTCACCCTGGGGTGGGGTGGGTGGTCTGGTCCCAACAGGGTGGCCTCTGCCAGGCATGCTGCATCCTTCTTCCTCCTGCCCATGGTGCTGGGGCCATGCAGGGCCTGGCCCAGCCCTGAGGTGGGTCTGAGCACATGGCTGGCTCAGTCCAAGGAAGCACCACAGTAGCTGGAGCAGGTAGTAACAGGTCTGAGGAGTTGCCACTGGCCCCTTGCGCAAAGAGCAAGGCCCCCGGGGATTCGCCCGGCAGCTCCAGCCTGGGAGGCTGCTGTTGCAGCCCTAATGCTATCCCCAGGATCCCTGCTGTGCTGCTTCCCCTCAGGAATACCCTTGAGCCATGCTCACTGCACAAGGGGCTGGCAGCAACCCCTCAGACCCAGCATTGCCTGCTCTAGGTGCTGTAGCATCTCCTTAGGCTAAGCTAGCCAGCGCTCAGCCCTGCCTCAGGGCAGGACCAGGCCCTGCATGGCACCAGCACCACGGGCAGGAGGGGAAGGATGCAGTGTGTCTGGCAGAGGCCACCCTGCTGGAAACAAATTCCTCTTTTCCTCAGGGTGAGCTGGGGAGGCCCCAGCAATGCAGAGAAGTTTGCCAGGTCTGGGCTACAGCAACACAAGAATGATGGAGGCATAGGGAACCTGTTGCCCTGCCTGGGCCCAACTGCTGGGGAAGTGGCGGGAGGGGGGAATGGGGCACAGACCCACTGCATGGCTGGGAGTCTTGGTGCTGTGGCAGGATCAGGATCAGGATCCCGGCACAGGAGAGGTCTGCAGACTCATCCCCTGGAGGGGAGGGGAAGCTACAGCTCCACCACTGGGCAGCACTGTCTAGTGGCTCATGCCAACCCACAGCTCACTCCCTGCCAGCAGCCTGGGACCCACGCAGGACTTTTAAACAGAGAAAACCAGGATACCTGATTATAACACTACAAAATTAACTTGGAAGAGGTAATTAGCCACATTAATCTAAAGTGAGAGAGAAGGCAAGGTAGATTTGCACCTCACAGACTAAATGAGATACAGCATAAGCTTTGGTGAACCCAAGCTCACCTCATCAGATGCATGTCCTTTCAGGGCACCTGATTAAGTGAGCTTGGACTCATGACTATCTTTCTCTGATTTAGTCAAAATTGGTTGATACCGAAAACATTGTCCTATTCACATACAATGATGCTCCTATAAATGCTCACAGATTTGATAGTTTTCCTTTTACATTGCAAGTTCACATGCTCCTTTAATTTTTAGTAGCTGAGCTCTAAGAATTACAGAGGAAATGTAAACAGGATTCATGTGTGTCCAATAATAAGCCGAGATGCAGAGTGATGGGTAGGGTATACAAAGAAGAGCAGGGGGAGAGTGTTTGCTAATCAAGTTTGATTTGGTAGGGAACAAGTGTTTGATTACTATTGAAGAGTATTTGCTTACTTGCATATACACAACACTATGTCAAAGTGCTGTGTCTATCCTGAACACTGCAGGGTAAAATAGACTGAAGAGAGCTCTGTGCTACTGAACTCTTGCTACTAAGCTCAACTGTTTCTGTTGCCTGGGTTAGCTCATTTAGAGTGAGTGTTAAGTATCACCACACTATACTGCTACACTTGGTGTAGACATACCCTAAACCTATTACTTTCTTTTATCTCCTCCCATTAGCATTATCCGTTTCTTTTATTTTAACCTTATCCTGCCTTGAATGGTTGGTAGGAGAATGCAACAGGAAATGAACAGAGCTTTCCCCCAAAATAGGCACATTCCTAATCAATGCTGGCTACTTTAAGGTTTGGTACTTGAAATCAGCTAAGGAGAACAACATACTGGACTAGTTTTAACATGGACTACTGAGAGTAACACTTTCAAAAGATATCCAGGTGATGTAGCAGCCAGAGTCCCGTTTTCAAGAGAGACAGACATAACTAGAACCCTTAGTCTCCTACTGCCTTCCAGTAGAAATCTCTTAGTGCTTAAGACATTTTTGAAAATGGGACTTAAGCACCTCTGAAAAATGTATCCAGTCACTTAAGAAGGAGAAACAAATGGACTTTGCCTATGACTGGATTATTCCATATATGCCCACTACGGAGAATCAATGAAAGTGCAGCTTTCCCTAAAGGATGGCACTGGCAACTGAGATGGAAAGAATATAGGGCTGGCTTGACTTTATGTGACAGTTCCTGTGTTCCGGCTCAATACAGAAACATTTGGGAACTGGCCAACTGGGTAAGGGACAGACCACTCGTATAAATAAGCTCCTCCAAACAGGCCACTGTGTATCCCTAGGCCTCTCTTGTGGCCTTGCTGTTGTTACAGATGCTGCAATAATTTGTAAGTATGCAGTGGGCATATCTCCTGGATCCCCTGCCAGCTGGAGCTGCTCCAACCCAGCTCAACATACTGCGCTTGAATAAACTCTGGAGCTTATTGCTCTGTAGTTTATTGCTTCCAGGTGGGTGCACATTCAAACGGTGCTCCCAGGAACAATACTGGAGCAATAAGCTCCAAAGTTTATTCATGTGCATTAACTGCACATGTAGATGTGCCCAGTAATGCCTACTTTGCTCCAACAGTAGAGAGAGCAGGAAT